AACTGGTTAGATAGATGCTTGAACACGAAATGAGCACAGGAGAAATTATAACCTTGTAACTACTATAGTCCTGGCTGTTGGATTGAATCCTCAGGGTACCATTTAATATTCAGATGTGCTAAACTACATTTAAATAATTTTAGGATTGGGCTCTGCTACAAGCCAACAGATGTTGAGCAATTCAAAGTTAAGGATGACACTTCATCACCACTGTTCTTAACAAGGAGAAGGAAAAGCATGTAAATTAAGGATATAATTTCAGCCTTTCAAACAAGTTCTTCAGGGTTTATTGGTTTGTTACAACAGTAATGGTATTTTAAGCACAGTTATCTGTATGTTAAATGCCAAAACCCTTCTCTATATTCAGGCAATACTAAGTTTACAAAACTGAAAGCAAAGCAAGTGATAAAACTGAAGAGTCAGATTCCAGTGAACTGCTAAATAAATCACTGTAAAAATCCCACCATAATTTTGGGAGGGAAGTGGTAAGAAGAGTGCAATGGTGTGAACATCCAACATCATACTGAATGCAAATACAAAATGTAATACTTGACAAAAATTGAAAAAGAATGACACAAATATTACTCAGAAAGGGAACATAAAACATTGTGCAATCAATTCATTTGGCATAGATAGCTCTGTCTAAAGCCTCATTTTACAATTCTATATTTGTGATGTCAATACTCTAACAGCAGTAAGAGTCAGAAAGCATCAAAATTCCATGAACAGAATTAGTTCTGAGACAACAAGTGAGTTTTGGCAGTATTTTAAAACATGTAATTGAATAAACAGTTGTTTTCTCACATGCAGAGACTAGTTGTATGCCTGAAAATAATTTGATTTAATATAAATTATACAGTAAACAAGAAACTAAGTGGTACGAAGTTCTGAACATCTCCAGTATAGGGTTACAGCTGTAAACACTTTTGATGTGATTGCTGCTTTGATTTTTGCCACTCATTCCAGTTACGTAATTTATTAACCTCTGAGAAGCCCATGTGACCCTCCCAAATATTTTTATGGGAAAGAAAAGTGAGACACTTCCCAGTCATACTTGATCCTATTTAGAAGTTAAGAATGAAAAAAGCAAAACTATCTGAAATATAAGAAAATTTATCACTATGAACTCCAATTTTCAGGCTGTTCATTAACTGAATCACACCCATGACACAGGACTATAAAATATAAAATTAAAAATGAAATACAAAGAGATAATAAGACAAGCAATAAAAAAATAAACTCTTGAGACTGAATTAAAGACAGGGGCAAAAGGAAGTGGAATAAGAAGGAAAATGTTCCAGTTGAGGAAAGACTGAAGGGACAGTACCACAAATGTAGGATTCTATAGTACATTAAAAAAAAAAAAATCTTCAAAGAATCTGGAGAAGGTTAAAAATACAGAGGAAGTCTTTAAAATAATATGCATCCATATTAAAAAATACCTAAGAGACACAAGTATGTCTGAAACATACCTATCAAGACTAACAATTCAACCATAATTTGGCAGGGTTGTTTTACAAGTCCAATATACATTTTTCTGGAACTGTGCCTCTTATTTCAGCACCTTGTTTAAAAGAAACAATACTACACAAACTATTTAAATACTAGCTACTTTTAATATTAAAAATAATTAAAAAAGCTTTCCCTCTGTCTATGAAAGTTTTAACCTATGTAAAACCTATGGTTTTAACCGAATTTTTCTGTAAACTAGTATATTTCAAACAGTTACTTATTTAATTCCACAACAAACTCACTCAGAGATGCATAAATACCAGAACAATATACTAAGAAACACCCAAGCACCATGAGGAATGAAAAAAATAAACCCCAATACTCACTAGCTAGAAGTAGGCTGATATAAGCAGATAACTGTACCAGAGCTACTACTAAAATCACATCTGTAAGTCTTTACCAATTTAAAAGCCAATTTAAAGAGCTAGCTTGCGGTGTGTGGGAGAAAAGAAGCTTCTGTAAAAAAAACCAAAACAAACAACAAACAAATGCATGTGTTGGTAGTCTTTCCAGAAAAGGCAGTTTTCTTACCTTGCTATATTGGTTCAGAAATAACATGTAACATAAAACATTTAAACTTGTTAGTGATGGCGAATGTATTAAAGTTCTTCTGAAGAAAAATTCTTTAGGAAGAAATGAACCTTTTTTTAGTTTCACTGAATTCCTGTAATCAAATAATTTGAATCAGCAAGTGATAAGGATGAGTGAAGACAGCCTAGACTTCTTGATTCTAGAGAATGTGAACATTACACTTTCTGAAGTTAGCATACGAAACAGGTATCTGATAAGTCACAGAGAAAATCATTCATCAAACAGTCCAGGCTCAATGCTTCCAGAAATACACTTACAACTTACCAATATTGTGTTATTTTTATCTCACATAATTTGCATTTCCTTTTTTCCTTTTTTTTTTTTTTTTTAAATATGTGCTCCGCCACTTTCAGGGTACGAATCCTACTTTATGAATGAGCCTCATAACTTTTTTTTAATATCTTTTCTTGTATTTCGTTTTCTTTAGATTGTAATGTTTGAAATCAGTAGAGTTACACTGTCAAAGTTCATGTAAAAAAAAATTTAAAAAAAAAAAATCAAGATACATCTCAGACCATCTTGGCAGAAAGAGAAGATGCCTTTGATTTACCTTTTACAAAGTTAAGGCAGCTGAATAAATATATAAGTGAAGGAAACAAAATGAAAACAGCTGAACTAGAAGAGGTTAGATTTAGATTAAATATTAGGAAGAAGTTCTTTACTGTGAGGGTGGTGAGGCTGTGGAACAAGTTACCCAGAGAAGTCATGGATTTCCCTTGAAATGTTCAAGGCCAGGTTGGATGGCACTTTGAGCAACCTGATCTAGTAGGTGTACCCTGCCTATGGCAGGGAGTTGGAACTAAACGATCTTTAAGGTCCCTCCCAACACAAAACATTCTATGATTCTATGAATCCCATAGGTATCACTCTTTCTGTTGTGCTCAATTGCAAAAATTGTGGGAGGAGTGTAAAATACTGAATAAGTTAACATTTCTAATTAGAAATTAGAAATGTCAGAAATTATAAAAACTTAGAAGAAAAAAACACAGGGAAAAACATACTTCCTAATAGAACTTGTCTCTGTGTATTTCTTAAGCAGTTTTCTCCAAATTGATTGCAGAAAGATAAACAGCATTGAAACTATTATTTGCAACTCTTTCTTGAAAACCCAAATGTTTCCCTTCTCCCTAAAGGGCATTGGTCCCTGCAGCAGAATTTCAGAACTTGCCTTTAAATTGGAGGGGGACACAAGCATTCCTCATGTGCCAGACTGCATCAACTCCAGCTGCTTTTTCTTGAGTAATTTCACAGGATAAGCTTTCAGGCAAAGTACCAAATCCTTGACAGCTGTGGGAGCCCAGCTGCAGCCAGACAGAGGCCAGCAAGATTAGCCCTTTGTGGGAGGGGAGGATTTCTAATCTTCAGCCTCCTCTCACAGAGGCAACATGCATGACAGGAGATGCTTCCAGCCAGGCAGCATCTTCCCAGTCTCTCTGATATCCTGAAGTTAATGCAGAGGGTGTTTTCTTACCCTGAAGCAATTTACTGACACATTCGTGCTGACACATTCGTAGGGACTGCTGTGGGTTTTGTTTTGTTTAGCGTCTTGCTAATGAAGTGTTTGCTTGTGTATGTGCAAGCACTCTGCAGAAGAAACCTCCAATTTATCATGCTTGTGTTGACATTGCCTCATCTGCAACCTAAACACAAGCAGAGACTGCACAGAAATCTTACGGGTGGTTAAGTGTTTAATACTATATCTAGCACATAAAAGCCTTGTTTAGGGGGCATGTATCTCTCCAAATCACCTGCTGATTAGGACAGTTGCACAGCAGAGCAATGTTCTTAGTCCTATAGCTTTGTGAAGAGTATAAAGAAAAATTGAAAATATTCAATAACTTGAAGAACATAAAGCAGATTTTTGTGAAAAGTCTGTTTGTTTTTTTTTTTTTTTAAGAGGCGGATTATTCAGTATATCTACATGTAGTGGGCTTGAGCTTGTTGGAAAATTTGCTCCTGTATAGGAGAAGGAGGCAATGTAACTGATGAACAGAGCTGCTGCTGCCACTCAGGAGAAATAAAGTGAAAAGGAAAAGGAAACAGAAATCAATTTCCCTTATCACTCTCCAGCTGCACATTGTGTTTCTGTCTGCCATGCGTATATAGGCAAATCTTTGTATTATCTTTCCTCATGTGAATAGTCCCACTGAAGCATTTATGAAAAGGAAGATGTATATGGCTCATCAAAGACTATGACCCTGTGGATAAATCTGTGCACCTCTGTGAATAAGTCCTTGCTGTGCTCCTCCTGTGTACATCTGCTCCAGAACACACGGGTTCACAATTATCCCTTTACATCTGGGAGCTTTTCTACTTCCATTAGAATCTAACTGGGGACAAAGCAGACTTTTAAAATGGTTCTCATGTCCCTGACACCTAAGGCTTTCCATGGTACTTGTAGAAGGTCCACAAAATTTACGGTGTTGCACAGGCCACTGTGAAAGGGATGTCCAGATATTACTCCAACCACTAGCTACTGTAAGACCTTCCAGCTTTATATAGAATACATTTACTTCCTGCTGCCAGCAGAAAGAAAAACAAAACAACAACAACCAAACAAAAAACAACCAACAGTGAAGGATCTTTTCATCAAGAGGGGACCCCACAGGTCTGATACTCTGAATTCTCCAGGGGAAGTGGTTTTTGGGTCAAAGTGGCCTGGAGAAAGTTGTTCATCAAAGGGAAAAAAAAAAAAAAAAAAAGTAGCTTTTTCTTCTCTGTCAGAGCTCAAAGTGATTCTCTGGCAGAAAGATTGACCACTACTTTTGGAAATGTTCTCCAAATCTTGCTAAGTATACTGACCAAAGCCAGCAGCTTCCTTTAATGCTGGCTTTTATGAAATTGCAACCTTTGGGTCATCCTTCAGTTGGAAACTCCTTCATCCATTTATCCCTCACCTGCACTTTGGATTTAGAGAACATCAAGTCCAGGGGAAGCTGATTAGAAAAGCCCCTGGTTTGAATCCTGCCTCCCATGACCGTGGACATCAATGCCAGGAACTGCTCCCTGTTTGTGAAAAAAAAACAACCCATCAAAACAACAAAACAACCCACAGCTACAAGGCTGAATGGTGCAACACTTCTTCATTAACATGACAGAGCTGGTGGGCATTTTCAGAAGTGTGCTATCATGTCTACCCAACCCTTAGAGCTCATCAGCCTCATATATCTTATTTGCTGGTCCTCATCTAAGACATCTGCTATTTGTTGGCCACACCTATTCTACAGCACAGAAGCAAAGTGGTATGGATGCAATGGGGCACTATCCTATGCCTCAGCAACAGCTGTTGCCTTCCTTTGGTTGATCTCTGTCACCTACCTGCTTCTGTCCTTGCAGGAAATGGGCATCAGTGAAGCATAAACTGCTCCAAGTGGTGGTGTATCCTCCTACCTCACTCCTAGTTCTCCTAAGTATCAGCCTTTTACATATCTTTACCCAGTAAGCCACCAACATAAAAAATACTTTATAATAAAAGCATCCTATTTTATAGCTAATAGTGTGGGTTATGAAAAAAAAACAAACCAGACTTCTTGCATGGTGAAGATGCTCAACCAATATCAGAGAAGCTTTGACAGCTTACTGTAGCTAGGGATCTTTCCCCATCTCCTTCCCCAACCCCCAAATCTGTACTCATTCAATAAAGTGCCTTGGGATTTGGTATTGGAAGGTACCAGGAGAATGCCAGTCATCATTAGTATAATTATCAGACTTAGACATTCTGCATTATTTATTCCAAATATTTATTCATTATTGTGTCCCAGATTAATGTAAGCTACTTGAGGCAAATCTATTTCTTATGGACGTATTAGTGAGAGAACTTCTGAAGCAGAAACAAACAAACTTTGCAAAGCTCCTTCAAGGAATGAGAGAGGGAAGAGAGATGAGAGAAAAGAGAGTTTTAAGATGTTGATTGATCCTAAAGCTGTCAGCTTATATTACTGACAGTAAGCAAGCCTTTTCTGGGAGCACATATGTTGATCTAATACAGTTGGTCCATGATCTAATTTAATATGTTAGATCTCCTCTTGGTAGACAGTAAGTTTGTTTCCATTTGGGGGGAGAAAAATGAGGAAAAAAAATCATAGTTGAAAAGCTGTGTACTCACAACATTATAAATGCTTAAATTTATATACTATGGAATGTAAACTGGTGCAGCTTTGTTGGAACTGATGGCATGATAGCATTATTTTGATTTCTGTCTGTCAAAATCCAGTTTCGTATCAGTAGCCCAGAAAGTGGTATTGTGGTTTATAAAAGTTCTGTCTTATTTTTGCTACCGTTATTCTCAATTTGATATATTATTTTTAATACTAGCATTCCAATGACAGCAAGGGATGGGACGAAGGCATCCTATGTGCTGCACAGACGTATAGTGTAGCAAGTGACAGACAAGATACACTTTGACCAAGAGGCAAATACTAGAATTATCTGAAACAGACCACTGGTGCAATCTGAAATGGAGGCAAAATAAGCTAGGCTGTTTGCTCAGCTTCATAGGCTCATCAATAGTGGAGGCAGCTGAGATTTCTGAGGTTTTGTGAGTTAATACATGGCAGATTTATTATAAAAAAGGATCTTGATAATTACTTTTCCTCTGTGCGTATACATTTTTAAAGTAAAATGCTTTGTAAAATAATAAATAAAATATACAGAGGGTGTGAAGATGTTGCAGTGTTAAGTTCCTGAACCCAGTATTTAATTCTGTCATGCTTTTTCCTCAGTGTTTTCCTATTATTGCATTTGTTTATAATGTCTTTTTTTACATTGTAGGCCCTTAGGGAAATGGGCAACCCTTCTGTTATGTGTCTTCACCTGGACCTGGGGAATAATGTCATACAAAACCCAAGAAAACTTGAGTTTATTTTGGTGTATTTCCTTTTTCAATTGTTTTGAATTTTCACACTTTTAAAAAGTTAGAAGGTTTTAAAAACAGTGGAATAACAAATATTGATTCATATATCCAAATGATTCCTCAGTATAAAGACAGCCTTTAAAGAGCTGCCTGACTTACTTCAGCTGCTTTTCTTGCAGTCTCAACATTTGAACTAAAAAGAGAATATGTGTCCATATTTGGCATCCCTTCCACATCACTGGATAGGAAAGATGGAATTTTAATCCTTCAGAAACATTTACTTGGCAGCTAAGCATAATGTGTCACTTCTATTAGAAATGATAACTCATACGGGCTTAGTCCTGCAGCCAGCTACTGCCAGGAGATGCAAACACTCATGAAAAGCAAAATTAGTGGGTTAGTGCCCTTCCAAGGAAAGTTCTCCTAATCCACAGGAACATAGCAACAACTGGGCAATGTCAACCTAGCAGTATATGTACCCCAGTATCCTCCCCCAACAGCAAACATTAAGGGTCAAATACGGAATTAGCACAAATCTACCGTGGTATTTTCTTAGAATACTCTGCCAGTTTTCAGTGATCTGCAGGCCAGGTTTTGTTGGAGTTTTTTTTAAATCCACTCAACAGTTGAGTATTACTAGGATCTTCATTTATGCCAAGGAAGAAGGAAAAAAGAGTTATTTCATCATGCCATAATTACACAGAAGTTTTCTTCTGACAGTCCATACAGGAGAAGGTGAGCAGCAGGCTAATTACATTCTGTTGGGAGATTTTATTTTTTAAGTTTTCTTTCTCTGTTTCTCTCCCTCCTTAATGTTGTCAACACCTTGCTGTTAGCTTAATGCAAACAAGATTTAAGTATTATGTATTTATGTTATTGCTGGCATAGTTCATGTCATGGGTAAAGACAAGTAATCAGTAGTCTACCAGCCAGCTAGAGGCAGAAGGGGCAGTGACAGAAGAGCGTTTCAGTTTTACAGCAAATGCAACTTAGAAACATTTTCAAAGGACTTTAAATGAGAACCAGACTGGTGCTTGCATGTAAATGACCAGTGTGTTTATCACAGCAGGAGACGGGCACGCTTGAGCACACTAACCAACCACAAATGGGTCCCATGGACACTGGTTGAAGCCTTCTCTTGTCCTAAAAGTGCAAAGCAGAAAGGTTCTGCCTTATCTCTTTTAACCCAAATCATTTATAAGAAAGAGTGAGGAAGAAAGAGGTTATGACTGAAGGAATTAATGAGCTGACCACAGCTTCTTACTGAAATTTTTAGTTCTGAAAACTGATACACAGTGAGAATAAATGATAGCCTTATACTATTACAGCCAAGGATGAAAATCAGCTCTTCCTTTTTAATGCCCTTATCCCCTCCCTGCCTGTCTGGAACCATTGCTTGCAAAGGTTGATTCTCTCCAAATATAAAAAAATGCCACCTGCTTGAACTTAAGGCTTAACTCCAGGAAGAAAGAATAAATAGAAAGTTTAAGTTGTCTTTTGTTTACTTGAAAGAGTATGTGTGGGAAACCACTTTCTGTTAGTACTTTTGATTTTGATAAAAAATGATGTTGACAAGGAGCAGAATGATTGAAGTGCAACCCTAAACAGTTGTGCTGATGACATGAGCTCTTAGCATCATGCGCACTCAATGCAAATGACTACATATATGGAACTAGGGAGGAAGAAGGAAGCCAGGAGATCTGCAACTGGAAAGAAGTGAGAAGTTTACTTGATGAGCAATGATTTTACCTAATACCTACATTATCTTTTGAATAAATATTTTTCTTATTTGAAAAGTGCAGGCTTCATATGGAAAAAATGAGGAAGAAAAAAGCAGCTTAAATATTTTTTACATTGCAAAATTGTTTGGATTTCAATTCAGAACAACATTTCAAGATTTTCATTTGATACTATGTTCTATGAAGAGGCTATCCTGATTCATGTCTGCAGGATGAATACAACCCATATTATTTCAACTTTCTATAAACAGTGTTAGATTCTGGCTCTAGTAACCTTCCTGGAACACAGGACAGCATCATCACATAGATTAATATTGGTCAAATGGGTATTCATTGTATTAAATATCTTTTCTAGTCCTGCAAATACTCTGTGATTAGTCATGGAATAATTTCGGTTGGAAAAGACTCTTAACATCTAGTACAACTGTAAACCTAACACTGGCAGGTGAGCCACCAAACAGTATCACAGTATCACAGTATCACAGTATGTTAGAGATTGGAAGGGACCTCGAAAGATCATCTAGTCCAATCCCCCTGCTGGAGCAGGAACACCTAGATAATGTTACACAGGAATGCGTCCAGGCGGGTTTTGAATGTCTCCGGGGAAGGAGACTCCACAACCTCCCTGGGCAGCCTGTTCCAGTGTTCCGTCACCCTCACTGAGAAGAAGTTTCTTCTCAAGTTTAAGTGGAACCTCTTGTGTTCCAGTTTGTACCCATTACCCCTTGTCCTATCATTGTTTGCCACTGAGTAGAGCCTGGCTCCGTCCTCGTGACACTCCCCCTTTATATATTTATAGACACTGATAAGGTCACCCCTCAGTCTCCTCTTCTCCAAACTATAGAGACCCAGCTCCCTCAGTCTTTCCTCATAAGGGAGATGCTCCACTCCCTTAATCATCTTAGTTGCCCTGCGCTGGACTCTCTCCAGCAGCTCCCTGTCCTTCTTGAACTGAGGGGCCCAGAACTGGACACAATACTCCAGATGCGGTCTCACCAGGGCAGAGTAGAGGGGAAGGAGGACCTCTCTCGACCTACTAACCACCGCCCTTCTAATACACCCCAGGATGCCATTGGCCTTCTTAGCCACAAGGGCACAGTGTTGGCTCATGGTCATCCTGTCGTCCACTAGGACCCCCAGGTCCCTCTCCCCTACACTGCTCTCTAACAGGTCATTCCCCAACCTATACTGGAACCTGGGGTTGTTCCTGCCCAGATGCAGGACTCTACACTTTCCCTTGTTATATTTCATCAAGTTACTCCCTGCCCAACTCTCCAGCCTATCCAGGTCTCGCTGGATGGCAGCACAGCCTTCTGGCGTATCAGCCACTCCTCCCAGCTTAGTGTCATCAGCAAACTTGCTGATAGTACACTCAATTCCCTCATCTAAATCATTGATGAATATATTAAATAATACCGGTCCCAGTACTGACCCTTGAGGCACTCCACTAGTCACAGGCCTCCAACTAGACTCAGCCCCATAGACTACAACTCTCTGGCTTCTCTCCTTCAGCCAGTTCGCAGTCCACCTCACTACCTGATCATCCAGTCCACACTTCCTCATTTTAGCCGTGAGGATGCTGTGGGAGACTGTGTCAAATGCTTTGCTGAAGTCAAGGTAGACCACATCCACCGCTCTGCCATCATCCATCCACTGTGTTATTTCCTCATAAAAGGCTAAGAGATTGGTCAAACATGATTTCCCCCTGGTGAAGCCATGTTGACTGCCCCTCATAACCTTCTTATCCTTGATATGCCTTAAGATGGTACCAAGGATAAGGTGTTCCATCACTTTCCCAGGGATGGAGGTGAGGCTGACCGGCCTATAGTTACCCGGGTTCTCCTTCTTGCCCTTTTTGAAGACTGGAGTGACATTTGCTTTCCTCCAGTCCTCAGGCACCTCTCCCGTTTCCCAAGACTTGGTAAAGATGATGGAGAGTGGTCTAGCAATGACTTCCGCCAGTTCCCTCAGCATCCACGGGTGCATCCCATCTGGACCCATGGATTGATGGATGTCCAGATTGCTCAACTGGTCTCTAACCCATTCCTCGTCGACTAAGGCAAACCGCTCCGTCGACCTGACTTCATCTAAGGTCTCAGGGGTACAGGGCTCTTCAGGACTGCCCGCAGCAGAGTAGACAGAGACAAAGAAGGCATTCAGTAACTCTGCCATCTCTTTATCTTCTGTCACCAGGGCACCCATCCCGTTCATCAGTGGGCCTACATTGCCTCTGGTGTTAGTTTTGTCTGCCATGTATTTAAAAAAGCTCTTTTTGCTGTCCTTGACCCTTCTTGCCAGGTTTAATTCTAAGGATGCCTTAGTCCTCCTAGCTGCCTTCCTACATCCTCTAGCAGCAGCCTTATATTCCTCCCAAGTGGCCAGCCCCTCCTTCCATGACCTGTAAACTCTCCTCTTCCACTTGAGCATACCCAGCAATTCCCTATTTAGCCACGCAGGTCTCTTGGCCCTCCTCCTTGACTTCCTACGTGTCGGGATGCTCCGATCTTGAGCACGGAAAAAGTAGTCCTTGAATGTCAACCAACTATCTTGGGCCCCTTTACCTTCAAGCAGCCCTGCCCATGGGATTTCCCCTAGCAATTGCTTGAAAAGGCCAAAGTTTGCCCTGCTAAAGTCCAGGGTTGCAATTCTACTTGGTATTCTACTAGTCCTGCCACACAAGATCCTGAACTCCACCATCTCGTGGTCGCTGCAACCAAGGCAGCCCTCAACCCTTACTGCTTCAACCAGATCCTCCTTGTTAGTGAGGATGAGATCCAGCAGCGCTCCTCTCCTGGTCGGCTCATCCACCATTTGCAGGAGGAAGTTATCATCCATACACTGGAGGAACCTCCTGGACTGCGGCTGGGTTGCCGAGTGGTCCTTCCAGCAAACATCAGGGAAGTTAAAATCCCCCACAACGACCACGGCCTGTGACTGTGAGGCCGCTCTCAGCTGCCTGTAGAAGGCCTCGTCAACTTCCTCACCCTGATCCGGTGGTCTGTAACAGACACCTACAACAGTATCCCCCCTGCCAGCCTGCCCCTTAATTCTCACCCACAGACTCTCAACTCGCTCATCATCTGTCCCTGGACAGAACTCGGTGCACTGTAGTTCCTCCCGCACATAAAGAGCAACCCCACCACCCCGCCTGGCTGGCCTGTCTTTCCTGAAAAGGACATAGCCTTCCATGACTATATTCCAGTCATGTGAGCTGTCCCACCACGTCTCTGTAATTGCCACCAGATCATAATCTCCTGACTTAACACAGGTTTCCAACTCCTCCTGCTTATTTCCCATGCTGCGCGCATTGGTGTACAGGCATTTCAGGGAGCGAGCTGAGCACACCGATTTCACCCTAGGATTGTAGGAGGCCTCCCAGTCTTCATTAATTCTGGAGCGCTGCCCCACTGGGGCAAGCCCAGCTACAACCCCATCCCCCTTCGAATCTAGTTTAAAGCTCTCCAAATGAGCCCTGCTAATTCGTGCCCCATGTCCCTAAGTGCCACACCTTCATGTCTTTTAAATACCCCCAAAGATAGTGAATCAAACCACTTCACTGGGAAGCCTGAGAGTTAAAGCCACATCTGAAACTTAATTCAGAAACACATACTTAACTTTATACCCTATCCTATATGTATGCTGGAAACAGCTGATGGAGTACCTCATTCTGTCATCTTTTGATGGTGGAACTTCAGAGCCATGAAGCCAAATCTGTGTCTCTGAGACTTTCATGCCATAGATCCTTGGCTTGTTTCTGATTGGAAAATGTATTTAGCAGTTGTTATAGCCACACTATGGAAAGCTCTACTTTTGTAAATCTCCTGTAAGACATCACAAAACACAGAGGAAAAAAAAACAGGGCAAACAAAACTGAAGAAAGAGACAGAAGAAAGAAGGAACAACTTGCCCAGAGTTGTACAACATCACTTTCCAAAGTAGTGATAAAGCAGGTTAAGGATTTATTCTCCAAATTCTTTAATGTTGGGTATCCCATCTGTTTTCATTCCATCTCCTTTAAAGAAAAAATTCTGGCTGATCTGAAAATGCTCACAAGTCCCATCTTTTCACTTCTATCCTTTCACTCATATTTGAATAGCTCAGCTCTCTCACCTCTTCTTTTTCTTTTTTTTTTCCCTAACATTACACTTCAGTTTCAATTATGAAATCCTCAATCTGATTTTTCTGTGCTGGCAGAAATATTCAAATGTCTTGTCCCAAGTTAAGCCCATATTGGAAAATGAAGAACGGAAATAATGGGGGGAAAAAAAGAAAAAAAAAAAAAAAAAAAAGAAAAGAACCCAGAAACCCTAAGCAACTCAAATGGTTGAGAAATGTTTCTTTGAGGCGGAAGTGCCATTGCATGGCAGAAAGCACAGTGGTGCAGAACAAAACCAACAATTTTTTTGGCACTAACAAGGGGCAGAAAAGTCTCCAGACAAAGCTGAGGAGTAGAGACTGATCGCTGGTGGGAAGCTGATGTACAGCTGTGCTGAAGAGCTAAGTGAAGTAACTAATAGGAACTACTTACTGCGCCTACCAAGATCTTAAGCAGTGCTACAGAGTCATCAGCACCAGTTCACTAGCTCTTTATTTATGTACCTATAAGCAGAGCACGGTATTGTCAGTTTAACACAAACAGAGGAAATTTGCAATTATTCAAGATCTAGTTCTTAAAATACTATCAACTGAAACTGGAGGTGGGACCATCTGGACATTTCCAGAGGAAAAACCATGATGACCTGTGACCATTCTCTGCATTTTAAACTCATCAGTAGTAAGACACAGTAGAATAGTATTAAAAAGTAGTGTATATGTCAGACCAATTTCAGTAATTCTTCAATGGCATAAAAGGCACCTTTCTAATTAAAATAGAAGTGACAATGTCCAAGGCTTTCAGACACACTTTGGATCTCTCTATATCAAACTTTCTCAATGCATTGAAGCTGCTAAGTCAGCAAAAACAATGTAATATTTCATTCACTATGTTTTAA